TGAGCCATACTCCAAGCCCTAGCACCTAATTTTATAAGCATCTCTAACTTGTTTTAAAATTTAGAATTACTCTGGAGAAAAAGTTTAAAAGAATAAAAAATGAACTATGTACTCTTTACAATGGGCTAAAAGGAAAGAAAACAGGGGTTGGATACACTAATACTTAATTTATTAAAACCTTTGTTTAAAAGGAGGGGCTGGGCACAATGACATGCCTGTAATCTCAGCTAGAAGGATCACAAAGAAAATCCAGGTGTGGTAGTGCCCACCTGTTACTCCCAGAGACTTGGGATGCTAAGACAGGATGATTACAAACTCAAAAACAGCCTCAGCAAATCATCAAAACCCTGTCTCAAAACTAAACAAAATGTAGCCCAGTGACAAAGTACCCATGGGTTCAATAAATCCCCACTACCCACCCCCACCAAAAAAAAAAAAAAAAGATAGGAAAGGAGTAGCTTGGGGTATAGCTTAGTGGAAGACCTTAGCATGTGCAAGTTTCTGGGATCAATCTTCAGCACCTCAGACCCACCCTAAAAAAGGTAAACTAGGGATGGGGCTGGGGCCCAGTGGCAGAGCACTTGCCTAGCACATGTGAGGCACTGGGTTCAATCCTCAGCACCACATAAAAATAAATAAAATAAAGGCTCAACTACAACTATGTGCAAGTACAACAAAAAAATAAATATTAAAAAATAAATTTTTTTAAAAAAAGAACTAGGGATGTGACTTAATGGTTAAGCATCCTTGGGTTCAATCCCCAGTACCAAACAAACAAAACAAAAACCTGGAGGCAATTAGGCAGTCATGTACACAAATAACTAAATATTAGGCAATATATACTATATGAAAGGCACACAAAAATATGGGAGTTTAAGCTGGGAATGGACGCATCTCCAAAAATCTCAGTTACTCAGGATGCTGAGGCAGGAGGATTCCAAGTTTGATGTCAGCTTTGGCTACATAGAGACACTCAAAGTAAAAATTTAAAAATGGCTGGAGTGGTAGAGTGCTTCTGGGTTAAATTTCCAATACCACCCAAAAAAGTAAAGAAATAAAATATGCAGCAATCTAGATTATCTCAGGAAATAAGGAAGCATTCTGGAAGAGATGCTAAGATTACAGATACCATGTTAGCCATTTTACATACAAAATTTAAACACCATAATAATACTATGAATATTATTCCAACTTGAAAACAAAGATATCTGACATTGAGGAAAATTAAGCAATCTCTAAGATCACACAACTACTAAGTTAACAACTGGGATAAAATTCCAAATGAAAAGCACAATGGGAGAGAAACCTATAAAGTAGATAAAAACCAGAATCTTTATTGTTTTGAATGTCAGTTTTAAGGAATTCTAAATTCCATACTGTAGGGAACAAGAAATCATGGAAAGTTTCTAAGCAGTGACATTAATATCATTTGTCTCCTCAGAAGGATTAATTTAACAATGTAAAACAGAGGTTCTTAAAAGTACAGTACTAAGGGCAATAGAACCAGCATCAGCATCACCTGGGAACTTGTTAGAAATGCAAATTCTCAAAATCTACTCCAGATCAAATAAATCAGATATTCTGGAAGGTGGGACACAACTGTTTTCTAAGACCTTCAGCTGATTATGTTGCATATTACAATATGAAAACTCCTGGTCTCAATGAGACAGATGCAACACAATTAGGATTTATGAGGGCTTATAAATGACTCCCTGTCAACTGGGTAAACAAAACATAAATGTCAAAAAGTCAAATATGGCCAGGCACGGTGGCACATGCCTGTAATCCCAGCGACTTGGGAGGCTGAGACAGGAGGATCGCAAGTTCAAAGCCAGCCAGCCTCAGGACAAAAGCAAGGTGGTAAGCAACTCAGTGAGACCCGGTCTGTAGTTAAAATACAAAAAAAAGTAATAGGACAAAGCTAGGGTGGAACCTCCAAGAAATGAATTATTCTGTTCAGAACATGTCAAACTGAAGAAATCAATAAATAAGATACTTGAGGCACCAGTAGGAAGCCAAATAACACAAAACATTATCTGGAAGGGCTCAAAAATTAGATCAAGACACACACACACACACACACACATATATGTATACATACATACACATATATATATATACAGGATCACTGAATCCCAGAAATTATACAATTTAGCACAGAAATATAGTAAATATGACATTACTATTCAAATATTTTTCTCACCAAGTTTTTAAAACTCCCGACAGAAACGACTACTTATCTTGAACTCCAAATACTTCCAACAATCATTGATCAACTGAACGCGAGAATGCCCAATCAGGATAAAGAAGCTTCAAGTTCTAAATTTCTATATAGATACTAAGGTTTTTTATAATATCTCTAGCATACATTTCCCCATTTTTCCTTATGCCACTGTAAAGGAAGCAGCTTCATTCTTGAAAGAATATGGTTATTTAATACAAAATAATTTTTGAATGTTATTCTGAAAAGTGAAGCAATTATAACAGGCACTTGTTTTTCTTTCTTTTTTTTTTTTTTTGATGGTACTGAGGATTGATCTCAGGGACATTCTACTGTTGAGCTGTACTCCATCATTTTTATTTTTTTGAGACAGCATCTCATATTCCCAGACTGACCTAAAATTTGTGATCCTCCTGTATCAGCCTCCAGAGCCCCTGGGATTGCAGGCATGTGCCATGGTGTCCAGGTAGGTACAGCACATACCAATCATCTATATCCACCATATCTTTGCACTGTTACTTCCTTCTAAAAGTCAGTCCCGATACTCCAAAGTTGAGGTATATTTTTCTTGCTCTGATCACATCTGTGCCACTCTTGTCATAATTCTGATTTGTGTCCATCGATATGTGGACCCTAGCAGAGCCTCAATAAATGCAAGCTAAACTAAATGATATGCTATCCCCTATATCAGAGGCAAGCTACCTGGGTAAGAAATATATGTGAGGGCTGGGGACATAGCTCAGTGGTAGAACATCCCTGAGTTCAATCCATAGTACTAGGGGGAAAAAAAGAATATATGCGATTAGTCTCATAATCCTCACTATGCCCAACACCCAACTTCCTTTTATGAAAACCATATTATGGGGCCTGGGGCTATAGCTTAATGGCAGAGCGCTTGCCTAGCATGCATGAAGCACTGGGTTCAATCCTCAGCACCACATATAAATAAACAAAATTAGGGCATTCTACAACTACAAAAATTAAAAAAAGAAAGGAAGGAAGGAAGGAAACAAACCATACTATGACACCTCCAGGTATTTTTTTTGTTTTGTGTCCTAGGTCATTAAGGATCCAGCCCAGGGTCTTGCTGGATGTGATCTACCAATGAAGTATTTATCTCCAGCCTCCATCAAGGATGTTTTCTAAGTATCCTCCATCAAGGATGTTTTCTAAGTATCCTAATTATCTTTCTATAATTGTTCTCATTCTACATTGCTATAATTACCAGTTGACATCTATCTTTTCAACCAGACCACGTATTGTTTATAGGTAGGTCCCATATTCCTCTTTGCATTAAGCAGCTATGGACTGTAAAAATTCATTCGGTTTGTTGAAGGCATTGAACTTAGACTGCTTACTGAAAGTTATCAAGTTTTGTAATTTGGTCAATTACAGTTGTAATACGGCTATTCAATTCAGTATCACAAAAAGAAAATACCAACATATTTTTCTCTCTCCAGGTAAATTCCAAAATAATTTACATTTTGCCATGTTTTCCCCCCATAGATCAAAAAACGTCACTAATAGGCTTTGATCACGTGCCCTCTTCAAAGGACTGGAGAAATCAAAGTAACGTTCAAGAGATTCATGTCACCTGGTTACATCTGGAAGCCACTGTGCTGTTAGGCTGGGCCACTCCAGAGCATGGGTCATCACCAAATCATAAAGAAAAGGGGTGTTCTTTTTCCATATTTTGTACTCCTCGTTGATCACACGTTCTTCCACTGCATCGTCAAAGGCTGCTAAAATTTTTAAAACAAATTAAGTTAGAGAACAGAAACGGAAAACAAGTAAACCTCTCCAAAGCTACCAGCGGCTTCTTCCCTCCAGACCCTGGAAAGGAGGGTTGTGTCCGGTGTTCCCAGGAGCAGTCACCAAACAACGCCGCCCTCTACCTCCGCGGGCCGGAAGTCCCCGGCTATCCCAGCCAGCACTCCGTTACCCATTCGAGGCGACGGCGCAAGGCCTTCGAAGCACGCTTGCGCGAATAGTCTGGAAGACCGGCGAAGAGGCGCGTCACCGGGCCTTGGGTAGGGAGCGAGGCAGGCGGGCCCGGGAAATAGGCTGAGTGGCCGACAGGGAGTGTGAGGAGGGACGCACACCCCTAGGCCTCCCACTGCCAGCTTCGCTCCGCGGTGACGGGCTTCGGCTCGTGAGAAACTGGAGCGCCGTTAGCCCGCCCCGCGGGGAGCTCCCTCCTCACGCCAGCGTTGCTGGAGCTTCGCTCGGCACCATTGGGCCTGTCGCCGATGTTAGGCCGTATGGAGGCCGCAACGTAGCACAGACACCCGCCGCCCTCACGGGGCGTCTCAGGCACCCTCACCTTCCTTGTCGGCCATGGCGGCAGGAGAGCCGGGGGTATCCCGGGGTCGAGCGTTGCGGGAGGGGCGGGGAGCCTGCGAGCGCTAGCTCCGCGCGCGCGGCCTCTATTGTTTCCTGCGGCCCCTGCGTGAGGGTCGACTCGCGCACCTTCGCGCCAACGTCGGCCAATCGGAGTGCATCCAACAGCGGGGTGGGCGGGGCAATCCCATTCTCGGCCTATCCGGACGCACGGAATCTCTTTCCGCGGGTCCGATGAGCGCGCTCCGCCCCATCTGTCCCCACACCGCGGGAGCGGACTTCCACTGACGGCGCGCCCGCCCGGGCTGATGGGATTGTGCCCGTTCAGGTCACGTGAGAAGTTTAGTCCACACATTCCCTGAGGCAGCCATTTTCTTACGGGCTGTTACGCTCACGTTCAGAATATTGATGTTTGGAATGCTTCGGGTTCTAGTTATCAACTCTGGGTGCCAGGCGGAAAGACAAGGTCTCACCACTCAGACCCAGAGTTGTCTAATTTAAGGTGTTCTTCAACTTGCTTAGTCTTTAGAAATAACTAGTGATAGGCTGGGGTTGTGGCTCAGTGGTAGAGCGCTTGCTTAGCATGTGGGAGGCACTGGGTTCGAACCTCAGCACCACATAAAATAAAAGCAAAGGTCCATCAACAACTAAAAAATATTTAAAAAAATAACTAGTGATAAACACAGAAGGTGGGGCCTTGTTTTTTAACCATGTGATCCAAGCGACAAGTCCTAGAACGTAAGTCTCAGGGGTTAACGTCCTTCCGCAAGCTCCGAGAATGGAGTCCTGGGCCTTTAAGACGTGTGCCAAGGGGCGGGGTTTATGGCGGAAGCAGTAGCGCCCGGCCGAAGTCCGGCAGAGGAAGGGCGGAAGTAGAGGGTACATTCCTGCCATCATGGCGCAGGAAGGAGAAGATGTTAGAGATTACAATTTGACTGAGGAGCAGAAGGCGATCAAGGCCAAGTATCCTCCAGTCAATCGGAAGTACGAATGTGAGTAGATGGCTCACTTCTCTATTCAAATATGGGCACAGGGGCATGCCTGATTCCTTACCTGCGGCTTCCTTCCTCACCTCTACTTTGCTCGGGCATCAACTCTTTGTGCCCTGTGTGCGCCCTGTATTGTATCTTTGTATTTGGCCTAGAGGGTTCTCAAGTAAAAGGCCACCTGGCTTAGGAGTCAGGAAACCCGAGCTTCCACATTTACAGTCTCTTAACTTCCTCAAGCGCCTGATCACATTTATGAGTTTTACTAGTGCGCCAATTATAAAAGTAATTGGGTTTTCAAGAGTTTCGTGTTTGACTTCATATCTAGTAACAGTGGGACAGTTAAAGAGTGTGGCAAATGTAGAGAACTGGGAAAACTAAGATGGGCAATTGTAACTTGGTGTTTTACCTCTTTTTTTTTGTAACCAGGAATTGAACTCAAGAGGCCTACTGAGCCACGTCCCTTTTAATGTTTTAAGTAAAGACAGGGTATTTCTAAATTGCTTAGGGCCTCACTAAGTTGTCCGAGGCTGACTTTGAGCTTGTGATCCTCCTGCCTTAGCCTTCCAAGCCTTAGCCTTCCTAGCTCGCTGGGATTAAAGGCATGTACCAGAGACCCAGAATTTACCTGCATCGTGTTTTAAAAGAACCTGGTTTTGCCATTTATTAGTGACTTTAAGCAAATTATATTGCCTATCTTTATGTCTCAGTTCCTTCATCTAAGGAATAATGTGAACTGGAGGTGTAGTGTGCTTTATGGCATGCAGAAGACCTTGGGTTCAATCTTCAGCACCACAAAAATAAGGAAAGTGAAAGGATAGTTCAGTTTCTTAAATTCTGTATTAAAAATTTAGCTGTTATCCTACAGGTGGCTATGGTGGGGAGCGCAAATTTAATTGGTCTCATTTATCTTCTTAAAATCTTTTATTTTTTCGGAAGCGCCCACTGATACTCCCAGTGACTGGGGAGGCTGAGGCAGGAGAAACTCAAGTTCCTAGGCCAGCCTTAGCAATTTCATGAGGCCCTAAGCAATTTAGGGAAACCTGTCTCTAAATAATAAGGTCTGGGGATCCGTGGTAAAGCGCCCATGGGTTAAATCCCCAGTGTCAATCAATAAGTAAATAGAGGAGTAGGAAGTGTAGGTCAGTGGTAGAGCACCCCAGGATTAAATCCTCAGTGCTGCAATAAATAAAAAATGTACAACTACCACATCATTTTTGCATCTGTGCATTCTTAACCCAGCATATCTCCCTTGCTCTTGCCCCTTTCTCACTTAAAAACAATTTAAAATACTATATGATTAAAAAAGTGGTCACTACTTCCGAGACTGAGGCAGGAGAAACACATGAGTCCTCCAAGTTCCAGATGGCCTGGGTAACAAAGACCAAAAAAAACAAAAACAAAAAAAACCCAACAACAACAAAAAGCAGGTATGCAGTGAAAAATAAGTCTCGTAGTTCTGATCCCATGTTTTAGTCCCTGTTTCTAGAGCAACCCTGGTCACTTTGCATACACAAATGTTCTAGCATTTTCTCTGTTTAACCAATTTCTAGTTGGTAGACATTTAGGATATTTCTATGCTTTTCCATTTTTGTACTGGGGCTTGAACCCAGGAGTGCTTAGCCACTGAGCCACATCCCCATCCCCAGTCCCCTTTCCTTTTATTTTGAGATGGGATCTCACTAAGTTGCTGCAGCTGGTCTCAAACTTGTTATACTGCCTCAGCCTCCCTGTAGCTGGAATTACAGGCTTGTGTGGCCAAGTCTGGCTGAGCCTTTTTAAGTAGTCTCTGTTAAAAATGGAGTATGTAAATGATGGGAGGGAAGGAGAGGAGTAGAGGAGATAGGAAGGGCAACAGAATAGAATAGACATTATGATTGCTGTATGTATATAGGTGACTCTATGACCAGTGTGATTCTGCAATCTGTACAATTAGAAAAGTGAGAAATTATACCCCAGTGATTCAAATGTATGAATTGCCAAGATCATTGTAATGTCATGTGTAGCTAATAAAAAAAAATTAAATTAAAAAAATGGAGAATGTGCGGGCTGGGATTGTGGCTCAGCGGTAGGGCGCTCGCCTAGCATGTGTGAGGTCCTGGGTTCAATCCTCAGAACCACATAATAAATAAATAAATAATTTCAAAGATGGAAAATATGCATAAAGTGTTTCTGCTGTGCATCAAGGTATTGATGTTCATCTTGAGGAAAAGAACTTGTGTAATTGTGAGGTTTTGTCGCAGAACACAATTCTTCATTGTAAGAATGACTGTGACAAGCTGTTGTTATTCAGACTTGGTATTTGACATGAATTTTCTTTAAAATGAACAAAGCAATCTGTCACATCAAGGCAAAAAACTATTACTGGTAATGATAAAATTTAGGCTTTCAAGTTATATTAAAATTTTAGAAAACTTGTGTCTATCCCCATGAGCTTCCCAGTACTTAGAAACTTTTCTGGAGGCTGAGGCAGGAGGATTACAGGTTCAAGGCCAGCCTCAGCAAGTTTGAAGCCAGCTTGCTGACTTCCTGAAACCCTGTATCAAATAAAAAGAGCAAAAGGACTGGAGATGTAGCTGAGTGGTAAAGAGCCCCTGGGTTCGATCCCCCTTACCAAAAATAAATAAATGAATTAATAATAAATAAAAAGTTTTTTCTTAAAGTTCTCTATATGGTTGGGGATGTGGCATAGCAGTAGAGGGCTTTCCTGGCATGTACAATGCCTGGGATTTGATCTGCAACACTATCCAAAAAACAAAGCAATGTCCTATATAGTTAAATATGTCAGTATTATCTGTGTAACAATGAACTAGTATTTTCTAAATTACTAATGCTTGATATTACACCATCAGACATGGATAAGACCCATTGTGAATGTACAACAGATCAATGGATTTTAATGCTACAGAGTATTTTCATACAGAGAACTTTTCAAAGTTTCAGTTCTTTGTATATATAGCCTTAGATTCTACATTGAACTAATGTTTAAAAAACGACCACATTTTGCATTTTGGTATAAAATTTAAAAGACTGTTCACTCTTGTTTGAAAAAAACTATTAAAATCTCCTCTGGGGCTGGGGTACATAGCTCAGTGATGGAGTGCTTGCCCCAGGGAGGCTCTGGGTTCTATCCCCAGCACTACCAACAAAAATTCTTTTTCTTTTGCATATCTGTGATGCTAGGGGTAGAACCCAAAAGCAGGGTCTCCCATGCTAGGCAAACACTCATCACTGAGTTACATCCTCAAACCAAGGCTGGGTTATATTCATGCATTCAAACTAAATGAACATACCACAACACATTAAAAATATTTGAACTGGAGGTGGTGGTGCATACCTATGATCCCAGTGACTATGGTGGCTGAGGCAGGAGAATTGCATTTAATGAGGCCCTAAACAATTTAGTGAGACCCTGTTTCAAAATCAAAAGGATGGGGATGTGGCTCAGTGGTAAAGCTGGTATTTAACCCTGGGTTAAATACCATAAATAAATAAACAAAAATAAAAGTATTTGGAAAAATATGCAAAACAGTGTTGCCTCAGCCTTTCATGTTGGTGAGATTACAGGCATGTTCCATTGCACCCAGCAATGTCATTGTCTTTGTAAACTGATTGTTTTTTTTTTTTTTTTTGTACCTGGGATTGAATTCAGGGGCCCTTGACCACTGAGCCACATCCCCAGCCCTGTTTTGTGTTTTACTTAGAGACAGGGTCTCACTGAGTTGCTTAGCACCTCACTTTTGCTAAGGCTGGCTTTGAACTCAGGATCCTCCTGCCTCAACCTCCTGAACTGCTGGGATTATAGGCATGCACCACCATGCCTGATTTGTAAACTGATTTTTTAGAAATTGAAGTATAATTTAATATCACAATGGACTAAAGTGCTTAGACCTTAAAATGTAAAGTCAATGAGTTTTGCTAAACACAGACCTCTGTGTAACCAGCACTCTAATCAAACTAATTTCATCACCCTAGAAAGTTCTATCCTGCTTTTTTTAATCCCTTACCTTGAGGAAAATACATATTTTCCCCACTTATAATGGAGATTGACCACAGGGACACTCTATCAGTAAGTTACATCCCTAGCCCTCTTAATTTTTAAAAAAATTGAGACTAGGTCACATTGAGTTGCCCGGGCTGGTTTCAAACTTGCAATTATTTTGCTTCAGGGCCTTGAATAGCAGGGATTACAGGATAGTTGGACTACAGGTACACACCACTATGCCTTGTTCACATTGTGGTTTCTACCCCATAGCTTAATTTTTTTCTTTTATTTTTTTTTTGGGGGGTAGGGTGGGGGGAGTTGAACCCCAGCCTCACACACACTAGGCAAGCACTCTACCACTGAACTACATCCCCAGGCCTTTTTTTTTTTTTTTTTTAATATTTATTTATTTATTTTTTTTTTAGTTTTCGGCAGACACAACATCTTTGTTTGTATGTGGTGCTGAGGATCGAACCCGGGCCGCACGCATGCCAGGCGAGCGCGCTACCGCTTGAGCCACATCCCCAGCCCTCCCCAGGCCTTTTTTAAAAAGTTAAAAAAAAAAAAAAAGTTTTTTGGCAGGATCTTGCATTCCTCAAATTTATAATCTTCCTGTCTCAGCCTTCCAAGTGGACTCAGATTACAGGCATGCGTACTCTTACCTGGCACCATAGCTTAATTTTTTTCTTTTATTAAAATTTTATATAAATAGAACCACAAACTATAGATTTTCTTTTCTTTCTTTCTTTCTTTTTTTTTTTGGCCAAGAAGAGGAGTACTGGGGGTACTGGGTATTGAACTGGGGGGTGCTTTATCACTTAGCCACATCCCCAGTTCTTTTTATTTTTATTTTGAGACAGGGTCTCACTAAATTACTGAGGCCTGCCTGGAATTTGTGATGCTCCTGTCTTAGCTATCCCGGTCATGGGATTATAGGTATGCACCACCATGCCAGATTAAGTATAGATTCTTTTATGAATGGCCTCTTCATCTAGGTCAAAGGTAAGCAGCAATTTCTAAAATTTTTTTACATATATATATATGTAGAGAGAGAAAGAGTTGTAAATGGACACAATACCTTTATTTTATTTTTTATATGTTGATGAGGATCGGACCCAGTGCCTCACGCATACCAAGTGAGTGCTTTACACAGAGCCCCAGCCAAGCCCAATTTTTATATATATACTGAGTGAGGGTTTTTAACCCAGGAGCACTTTATCACTAAGCTACGGATATCCCCTGTCCATTTTATTTTTGGTTTTGAGACAGGGTCCCTCTGAATTTGCTCCTACTGGCTTCCTGAGGATATGGGAAAGAGATGAGCTCCATTCCAATTTGTGAAGGGATGATTGGAATGGAAAATGAAGGAGGGTGATAGCAAGTGTTCATAGTTAGAGAAGTAACAAAGTACAAAGAGTTGGTCAGTTTAAATGTGTTCATACCAGCTATATCTGCTAGCTAACAGTTATGGAATTTTTGAATCTATCCTCCCACAGAAACTGGGGGACAGAGCCCTACCAGGAGATTATATTTCAAAGGAATGTCTCTAAGGTCCTTGAAAAAGATACTTTTAAGTTGTGAGAGATATATATTTATAATTATAAGCCCTTTTTAGTACTTGCTCTAAGAAGGGAAGGTTGGGGGCCTATGTCAGGTTTTAGCTAGAATGAACAGAAAAATCTGCCTGTTAAGCTTCTTTTCTCACAGGGATGATAACTTAGGCTGCTAAAAGCAGCCATGCTAGAGTTTGGTCAAGTGCAGGGGTTCATATGAAGTTCTTAAAGTGCTGAGAGTTTGCAGTTCTTAACTTAACAGTGTTTTTAGATTCATATTAATGCCTGTTATCAGTAGTTGATGATTTTTATTACTGAGTAGTGGTCAAGTGCCCCTGACAGTTCAATTCCCAGTACTCTCCCCCCCCAAAAGCACTTAACTTTGTTGAGTAGATAGAAAAAGCTCTGGGCTTCCTCAGTTTTCTTGTTCTTCAAAGGATGATGTTCTTAATAATTAATAAGCTCTAGTTTTTTTCTTATGGTTTTAGGGTCAAGATTAGTAACTTTTAAATGTTTTTACCTTTTTTCCTCAGATTTGGATCATACAGCAGATGTCCAGTGAGTATAGCAGGAGTTTGTTCTTTTGAAATCATGTATCAAAATATGAAGGCTGAATATTTTAATCTGTGTGTTCCTATCTTATTTTTCTACTCTGTTTATTCGTAACATAAAAATGGTGATTTAAAAGCACTCAGTTAGGATGCCATTAAATTGAGGTCATTAGTTTTGTACTTGTCAAGCTGATTTTATTTGACTTTGCTATTGAGGTTTTTTATTTTTTATTTTTTGGTGCAGTGAATTATATTACACAGAGAGCATGAATGTATTTCTTTAGGTTACATGCATGGGGAGATACTCTGGAGGAAGCATTTGAGCAGTGTGCAATGGCCATGTTTGGTTACATGACAGATACTGGGACTGTGGAGCCCCTCCAAACAATAGAAGTAGAAACCCAAGGTAACTAACGCATTCACAGGGAAAAAACTGTTATATAGATATGCAGTGTTTTACATAATCTGAGTGTATTTTCACAATAAGAATAACAAATTGGGCTGGGATGTAGCTCATTGGCAAAATGTCTGCCTTGCATTTGCAAAAGCCCTGGGTTCAACTCCCAGTTCCAAAAAAAAAAGAATAACAAATTGCTGAGCATGGTGGCGCATGCCAGTAATCCCAGGGACCTAAGAGACTGAGGGGCAGGAGGATTGAAAGTTCAAAGCCTGCCCTAGCAACTTAGTGAGGCCCTAAGCAATTTAGTGAAACCCTGTCTCTAAATATTAAAAAAGGGCTGGGGATGTGACTTGGTGATTACGTGCCCCTGGGTTCAATCCCTAGTACCTGCCCCCTCCATAAAAACCCCAAACAATAAAATAATTAATTATGAGCTCAAATTTCCTCTTTCAGCTAACGTAAGAAATTCATTACACTTTTAAATTGGAACAAGATTTTAGATACCAGAATTATTAAACTCATACTATTATGGTCCTTTTTGATCCTGTGTAGGAGATGACTTACAATCTCTTCTGTTTCACTTTTTGGATGAGTGGCTTTATAAGTTCAGTGCTGATGAATTCTTCATACCCCGGGTAAGCAGGGTTTTTCTTTTTCTTTCTTTTTCTTTTTTTTTTTTTTTAATTGAGCAAATGGGTTCTTAGTTCATATTTTAAATAGAACATGTGCCAGGCATGGTAGCACATGCCTGTAACCCCAGTTACTTGGGAGGCTGAGGCAGGAGTATCACAAGATGGTTACCAGCCTCAGCAACTTAATGAGATCCTGTCTCAAAATTTTAAAAAATAGAAAGGGCTGGAGATATAGCTCAGTAGTAAAACACTGTTGGGTTCAATCCCAGTGCCAATAAAATAACAGGGGTGGTGCATTCCTATAATCCCAGATGCTCAGGACACTGAGGCAGGAGGATCTTAAGTTCAAAGCCAACCTCAGCAACTTAGTGAGACCCTGTCTTATAATAAAAAAGGACTGGAGATGTAACTCAGTGGTAAAGCAGCCTTAGGTTTAATCCCCAGTAGCCCCCTCCCCCACCAAAAAAAAAATGAAAACCCATGATGCAAAACTAATCCATATAGATATTAAAAAGTATTGGGTTAGGGGTGCTGGGGTTGTGGCTCAGAGATAGAGCACTTGCCTAGCATGGATGAGGCACTGGGTTCAATTCTCAGTACCACATAAAGTAAAATAAAGACATTATGTTCACCTATAACTAAAAAATAAATTTTTTTTTTAAAAAATTGGGGCTGAGGATATAGCTCAGTTGGTAGAGTGCTTGCCTTGCATGCATAAGGCCCTGGGCTTGATCCCCAGCACCACAAAAAAAAAAAAAAAAATTGATTTTATATAAATTATAGACACTTCTTTGTTAACCTCAGTTTGTTTTGGAACATACATTTTGTTCTCATGTTCTTTCTCTCTTTAGTCCTGGGGATTGAACCCTGCAGTGCTTTATCATTCAGCTACATCTCCAGTCTTTTTCATATTTTACTTTGAGATAGGGTCTTCCTGAATTGGTGAGGCAGGCCTCAAATTTGCATTCTTCCTGCCTTAGCCTACCAAGTCTCTGGGATTACAGCATGTGGCGCTGTTCCCGAATGTATTTAAATCTCTGATCATGTACTTGTCATTAATAGGATTGTATGATAAGCTTAAACCTAAAGTCTTCATCTGTATTCTGTGTCTCCCAAGTTTGAGCTGTGTTTATGTCTTTACATATGTTCCTTTTGTTCCATTTGAAGTTTAGCAGCTCTGATACTTTGGTCTAAGTTCAACAACTGCTGCTTTTAGTTTTCCTTAATGTAAAAAAAAGAAAAGCCATATGGAGATTGCTTGCAGCAGTCAGCCTTTAGAAGGAACACCTCTCCAAATCATGTTACTTATTACATGGCCCTCCCTGCTTCCTTAATTCCTCCATTATCTTCTTTAAAGTCTCCATCCATATTCTACCAACTGAGCCACTCTTTCTACAGAATTCAAGTGCCAAAAGTATCATAAAAATAGACTGAGAAAAGGAAAAGGGGAAATAAAAAAGGTTGAGAGTGACTGAAATCTTATATCCTCCTTCTCTACCATGTGTCTTACAGAGATGTTCTTTTGACTCTTCTTTTCTCTTTTTTTTTTTGATGCCAGGGATTGAATTCAGGGCCTCGCAGTTACTAAGTGCATGCTCTACTACTGAGCTATACCTTAACCCCTTGAGTCATTTTTTAAATGTCTTTTTGTTGTTGTTGTTGTTGTAGTAGTTTTATTTATTTTTATGTGGTGCTGAGGATCAAACCCAGTGCCTCACCCTTGTACTGGGGTTGTGACTCAGCAAAAAATAGAGTGCTCACCTAGCATGTGCGAGGCCCTGGGTTTGATCCTCAGCACCACATAAAAATAAATAAAATGAAGATATTGTGTCCCACTACAACTAAAAAATAAATATTAAAAAAAAGAATATCATCCTTGTGCCAGGGCGGTGGCGTATGCCTATAATCCCAGTGGCTTGGGAGGCTGAGTCAGGAGGATCTCGAGTTCAAAGCCAGCCTCAGCAACATTGAGGTGCTAAGTAACTCGGTGAGACCCTATCACTAAATAAAATACAAAATAGGGCTGGGTAAGTGCTCTTAAGTTCAGTCCTCATTACCAGGAGGAAAAAAAAAAGAATATTGCCCTTGAATATGTTAAGAAAAACCTTATTTCCTTGAAATGCATTTAGCTTGTTCTGTTTTAATTTTCTTTGCTTCAGAGAAGTTGTTTGCCATTATTTTCTAGAAAAAGTAGTAACCTAGACATGTTTTAGTAGATAGTTTAGTATAAACTTTTTTTTTTAAATTTAAATCTCTTTTTTTCTTTAGGAAGTGAAAGTACTTAATATTGATCAAAGAAATTTTAAATTACGGTCAATTGGGTAAGTTTTAAACTTTTCTAAAAGTAACAGGTCATGAAGGATGTTGGTTATATTCTTCATTGTACTCAGTGGGCAGAAAGACAAATAGAAATATTAAGTCAGGGGACCACTTACACTTGGCAGGATGTTGCATATTGAGATTGTGAGAGAGATACCAAGGAGTAAGAACTCATCTGAACTTTGGAGGATCAGAAACTTGTCAGAATAAAGTTAATTCTGTTTATTAAGCTTGATTCCAAATTTGTTGATTAAGGGGGGGGAGTGTGAGTGTGTGTATAGCTTGTTTATACATACATATATATATATATATATATATATATATAAAATTGCTAAATGTCACTGCTTAAACCCCCAACTTGGTGGATGAGAAACACTGGCACATCTTTTGACACAGCTCATAACTTCGAGACCCACTCAAATCAGTTTCTTCTATACAAATTATACTTTTCTTCTTTTATTTTCCTTCCAGAGTTTGTAAACAGTCGATTAGGTGACTTTAACTGGACTTGTTTCTTTAGTCACTTAATTATATCTTTTAGATTATCTATATATAGTTTAACATTACCATTTTATATTGAATCTTATTAGTTTCTTTTTATAAAATGAAGTCTTGTATTATCTTCTCCTTTTTCTTTTATCCCTACAACACATTTTATTGCTCACACATAAGCATATGTACAGAGATTTTTCTCTGTGAAATGGTGGAATATTGCATACATTAGGCTAATTGACTTTATTTGGGGGGGGGGTACTGGGGATTGAACCCAGAGGCGCTTTACCACTGAGCTACATACCCAGCCCTTTTTATTTTTTATTTTGAGACAGGTTCTCACTAAGTTGTTAGGCTGGTCTCGAACTTGCAATCCTCCTGCCTCAGCCTCTTGAGTCTCTGAGATTATAGGTGTGTGCCACTGAGCCTGGCAGGCAAATTGACATTTAACTCTTAACATTATGTTAAAATTACCTTTACTGTTATGATGTTTTCTCAACATCATGTGTGAAAGGTATATATAATTCGTAGTAGAAAAAGTAGTAACCTAGACATGTTCTAGTAAATAGTCTAGTAGAAATGTAATGGTGAGTATTTGTATATATTTATGGTATCCTCTTAAAAAAAAAAAAACTGGTTCAAAATTATTTAGCTAGGAAGTAGTTGAACAGAATTTTAAAGATTTGCTGTTTCTGCTGTACCATGTTGTGATATTTAGCCTCATTACTGTCAAAGGTAGATAAGAAAATTCTCTCAAGTTCTAGGAGAGTATCTTTCTAGGGCTTTCTGTATACAGACTATAGATATTTTGGGAAAAGTTATAAAATGCAAATCAAGCTCAGACTATATTGCAGAATCAAGTATTTTGTGTTTGTGGTACTCAGACCTGCTTTCTCCGTGGAAGATAGTATTTAATTGGTTCTATAGCTCTAAGTGCAGTGGAAATTTTCAACATGGCACCCTATTATAAAATATTCACTAGTCAGTATTTATTGAGAATCTACCTATAAGCGCACTATACTGGAGCTTTTTGGGGATGGGGCAGCTTTCAAGCTTGAGAGCAACAATGACTAGTCTATACAAGTTCTTCCACACCTGTATTTGCTGGCAAATCAAAGTGAAATCTGTTTAGCTTCCCTACCCCTTCCCTCTTCTTTTGGATCTCTACTATCTGAACCATGTTTATAAGGCTTATTTTAAAATATGTAAAGAGAACAAATGTAAAACTTTGGAAATCTTAATCATGTTTTAATTTTACTTCTCAAGGTGGGGAGAAGAATTTTCATTGTCCAAGCACCCTCAGGTATGTTTTAAAGTCTACCCATTGAAAACTTTATGCTTCCTTATCATAAAATCTGTAAACATGACAATAATCTTCAACTAATTCTAATAATTGTTCTGATGTGATAAGGTTTTCTTAAACTTTCTGACCTCTGGATATGTTAAAGCACTGTGATTTTACACATCTGATTAGATGTGTTAGGATTAAGCTTTGGGCTCTGGGGCCAGGTTTGTTACAGAATGTGTGGGACTTAAAAGTTCATTTGCCTTTTTGAGCAGTAGTTTCTTCTGCAATGAAGGTATAGGACTAGATTGTTCTTAAAGTGCTTTCTACCTTTTATATTTTCCAACCTGTATACACTTACTCTGTAATAGTTAAACCTCTGGGAACAGGAATTGGGAGTTTTTTTTCTGTAAATATATTAAGATTTAGGCCAAACTGGGCATGGTGGTGCACACCTGTAATCCCCCTGGCTCAGGAGGCGAAGACAGGAGGATCCAGAGAGTTCAAAGCCACCCTCAGCAATGGCGAGGCGCTAAGCAACTCAGTGAGACCCTGTCGCTAAATAAAATACAAAATAGGTCTGAGGATGTGGCTCAGTGGTTGAGTGCCCCTTCGTTCAATTCCCGGTACCAAAAAAAAAAAAAAAAAAGGATTTGTAGGCCAAGAGCAATGGAAGAGCAACCACTGAACTCTTCTGTTATAGCACTGAAGAAATCATAGAAGATACATAAATGAGGGTATCTGTGTTGCATTAAAACTTTACTTATAGACCTTGAAATTTAAATTTCATATCACTTTCTAATGTCATGAATTTTTTTTTTTTTTTTTTTTTTGCTGAGGTACTAGGGATTGAACCTAGGAGTGCTTAACCACTGACCCACATCCCCAGCCCTTTTTTGTATTTTATTTAGAGATAAGTTTTCACTGTGTTTCTTAAGGCTTTGCTAACTAAGTTGCCTAGGCTGGCTTTGAATTTATAATCCTCCTACCTCAGCCTCCTGAGTCACTGGGATTATAGGTATGCACCACCAGGCCCAGAATCCCCAGCCCTTTTGATTTTTATTTTGAGACAGGGTCTCTAAGTTGCGTAGGGCCTCACTAAGTTGCTGAGGCTGGCCCACAACTCTGGATCCTTCTGTCTCAGCCTTAAAAGTGGCTGGGATTACAGGCGTGCACCACTGTGACTGGCTTTAACTTAGAGATTTAAAACCGTTGTTATTTTGTGAGATTATACAAAAATACATGGCAGGCCACATTTGACCAATGGGCTGTAGTTTGCTGACCCTTGTGTTTAGGCCAAGAAAGCCTGAATTAGTTCCAGATGACTGGAAAATCCTGGTTGCTTCCAGTAACCACGGTATCATTTTTTCAACTGCTGTATGATGAAATGAATTCTGATGAGGAACTTGTGTTATAGTAGCTGTTTCAACAAGGTTGAAAGGAAAGAGAAACATAAAAAGAAGAGAAACCAAGCAGGTGCAATGGTGTACAGCAACAATCTCAGTAACTTGGGAGGTTGAGGCAGGAGGATCACAAGTTTGAGGCCAGCCTAGGCAATTATAGAGACCTGTTCTAAAATAAAAAAATAAAAATGGTTAGGGTAGCTCAGTGGTAAAGCACCCCTAGGGTTCAATTCCCAGTTCGGGGAAAAAAAAAAAAGAGGGAGAGAGAGAATCCAGTAGAGAAGGGCAGTGAATTGAAAATGTATTTATAATAATAGAAACATCACACTAGATTTTTCCAAACTTGTATATTCAGGACATAGCATGACATTTTAAGGAGACCTAAGAGGGGCCAACCATCACATATCCCTTGGGGCCCCTTTTAGAAGGGGAATACTGTCATGAATGGGGCGATAATATGTTCTAGCATGGTAGTTTTGTTCTCTAGTTATTAGAATATGTCAAGCGCCATGGTGCATGCCTGTAATCCCAGTGGCTTGGAGGCTGAAACAGAAGGATCATGAGTTCAAAGCCAGCCTCAACCTCAGCAAAAGCAAGGCACTAAACAACTCAATGAGACTCTGTGTCTAAATAAAGTACAAAAATGAGCTGGGGATGTGGCTCAGTGGTGGAGTGCCCTTGAGTTCAATGCCTGATACCACCCCCCACCCCCGCCAAAAATACGAAATTTTTAAAAAGGGCTGGGGAATGTTGCTCAGTGGCTAAGTGCCCCTGCATTCAATCATCAATACAAAAAAAAAAAAAAAAAAAGAAGAGAATGAATGCTGGAGAAGATGTGAAGTAATTTTCTGAGTGAAGGGGACAAAGGAAACTTAGCAATAAGTGGTCAGTACTGAATGCCTGTTTGAGATTTGCAGATATACACAGAGGGTATTACTAGTCAGCCTGGTATGTGCTGCCTTATGGTAGAAAATGAAATTTGATGTAGGTGGTGATTTCTCCAGGTGCTTATGGCAGAAGAGAAAATGCAAAGGTAATGCCACTCATACCCTATGAAATCTTTGAATTTATTATGTGCTGTTGAGCTAGCAAATGACGGAAGTCAAAGTACATTTTGTGATACACAGAACCATTATAGATTCTTTTTAGAGCTGGAAGGAACTTGAGAGAATATCTAATCTTGTGGTTCTAAACTGGGGCAAGGTGAGGGGGAGTATCATATATCAGAATCATGTGGAGAATTTTCACCTGAGAAGCTATATCTCACTTTCCAGCTAGACTTGAAGAGAAGTACAAAGGTAAAGTGAATATTGGCAGCTGAGGAGAAGACAATACATTGACATTCTAGGGCACAAGTTGGAGAATGAGGGGGTAATTAGGGACTAGGAGAAATCCTAGCTAAAGAGTGGAAAAGCTTGTGTTCTTTGATTAAACCCATGTTTAAGTGAAAAAATGGATGTCCAGACAGGTCAGGCACCTTCCTTGCCCAAGTGGTATCACTTCTCTCCTAACTCCAGGTCAGTACTCCTTCTGCTGTGTACATTTTCCCTCTCCTTTTTATTGGATCAGCATATAATATTGTCTTAATTTGATAACTAGTTGTTTTATGTGGGTTTTTAATTTTTCAGAATAGTATTAAATTTTTGACTTTCTGACAGTTGTTGCTCAGATTAATAATTCTGATTCTTTTTTTTCTATTCTCTAACCCCATCTTCAGGGAACGGAAGTCAAAGCAATAACATATTCAGCAATGCAGGTCTATAATGAAGAGAAGCCAGAAGTTTTTGTGATAATTGACATTTAAGATGCAAAAAAATGAAAGAAAAGGAAGGACGGACATACTCCTATGAAGACCTTCTTTTTTTTTCAGAAATCCTCCTTTTGAGAAGATCAGTGATTTGATCTCTGTGGTATCTTGATAAATGGACATTGATACATCAGAAAGTTTTAACTTAAAATGTGACTTTCAGAAATGGGAAAATCAGAGCATACCCTTGGTCTGTGTTCTCTACATATTCAAACTTTAAAGAATTCTTCAGTGCTTGAGGGCATTTATGTTCTCTTTGTTAATTCCCTGTTATGTCAGCAAGTACCCCAGATTCTTCTAATGGAATGAGAGTCTTCCAGCTTGGTCCCAGAAAGAATCACTGGTATAAGTAGCAGTTGGGATGGAATCTAATTTGGAAAAAAGAATAATTTGAGAAAATAACATTTCTATAACTAGAATTATGCTTTTCTTCTAAATTTGTTAAGACACATATTCTGTATGTATGTATCTAAGGCATATCATGTCTTATGTTGCTATGGGACTTACCCTGTATTCTAGTTGGTTTTAGAAAAGAACTGACCAGAAGATTTCTATAGAGAGAGTCCTGATTTTTTTCTTATTGTACTCTTAATTTTTATTAAGCAGTGATAATGGATGGCACTTATCTATTTTCTCATAAGAAGAACCTGATAGTGAGCATGCTACAGGGACACTGCTACATCGATGTTCATAGCAGCACAGTTCACAATAGCAAGACTGTGGAACCAACCTAGATGCCCTTCAATAGACGAATGGATAAAAAAAATGTGGCATTTATACACAATGGAGTATTACTCTGCATTAAAAAATGACAAAATCATAGAATTTACAGGGAAATGGATGGCATTAGAGCAGATTATGCTAAGTGAAGCTAGCCAATCCCTAAAAAACAAATGCCAAATGTCTTCTTTGATATAAGGAAAGTAACTAAGAACAGAGTAGGGACGAAGAACAGGAGAAGAAGATTAACATTTAACAGGGATGAGAGGTGGGAGGGAAAGGGAGAGAGAAGGTAAATTGCACGGTAATGGAAGGAGACCCTCAGGGTTATACAGTGGAGGGGGTAGAGAGAGAGGAGGGGAGGGGAGGGGAGAGGTGGGGAGGGGGGAGGGTGGATGATGGGAAAGGCAGCGGAGCACAACAGACACTAGTATGGCAATTTGTAAATCAATGGATGTGTAACTGATGTGAATCTGCAATCTATGTATGGGGTGAAGGTGGGAGTTCATAACCCACTAGAATCAAAGTGTGGAATATGATATGTCAAGAAATTTGTAATGTTTTGAACAACCCACAATAAAAAATTAAAAAAAAAAAAAAAAGAACCTGATAGTAGCTGGGTGCATTGTCACACACCTGTAATTTCAGCAACTCAAGAAGCTGAGGATTGCAAATTTGAGGCCAGCCTCAGCAACTTAGGGAGACCCTAAGTAACTTAGCAAGACCCTGTCTCAAAGTAAAAAATACAAAGGGCTGAGGATGTGGCTCAGTGGTAAAGTGCCCCTGTTTAAAATCCCCAGTACCAAAAAAAAAAAAAAAAAAAAAAAGAAGAAGAAGAATCTGATGGTATATCTTGCTTGTCTTTTTTTGCAGGGGAGGTGTACTGGGGATTTTAGTATTATCCCACCATGCCCAGCTGACACTTTTTATTTATTTGTTTATTTGGGGTACTGGGGATTGAACAGGGGGTGCTTAACCACTGAGTCACATCCCCAGCCCCCCTTTTTATATATATATTTATTTTTTAATTGTAGGTGGACACAATATCTTTATTTATTTATTTTTTATGTGGTGCTGAAGATCTAACCCAGTGCCTCACACTTGCTAGGTGGGCGCTCTACCACTGAGCCACAACCCCAGGCCCCAAGCCCTTTTCCTTTTTATTTTTTGTTTTGAGACATGGTCTCTAAGTTGCTTTGGGCTTCACTAATTTGCTGAGGCTGGCTTTGAACTTGCGATCCTCCTGCTTCAGTAGCCCTGTCAACTCTAGTGGTTGGGATGACAGGTATATGCCACCTTGCTTGGCTCTTTGCTGTAAAAAGTGCATAAGAGACAAGAGACTGGGGAAACAACTTTAAAGTTATCTGGAGTTTAAAGATTTAACTCAATGGCAAAGTGATTGCCTCATGCACAGAGACCTGAGTTTGGTCCTTGGCTTTGAAAAAGAAAAAAAAAAAAAAAAAGGATCAAATCCAGGGCCTCTGGAATGTTATACAAACACTCTAACTCTGAACTATGTCCCCAGCTCTTCTCTGATTTTTTTTTTTTTTTTTCCTTTATGGTACTGGGGATTGAGGGACATTGAGCTATGCCCTTTTCTTTTTTCTTTTTTGGTACCAGGAATTGAACTCAGGGGTACTTGACCACTGAGCCACATCTCCAGCCCTGTTTTATATTTTACTTAGAGACAAGGTCTCACTGAGTTGCTTAGTGCCTTGCCATTGGTGAAGCTGGCTTTTGGACTTGTGATCCTCCTGTCTCAGCCTCTAGAGCCTCTGGGATTACAGGCATGTGCCACCACTCCCAGTAGCCCTTTTTTATTCTTTATTTTGAGATAGGGTCTCAGTAAGTTGCTAAGGCTAGCCTCAAATTTGTGATCCTCCTGGCTCAGCCTCCAGAGATGCTGGTATTATAAGAGTTTGCCACAGGCTGGGGATGTGGCTCAAGCGGTAGCGCGCTTGCCTGGCATGCGTGCGGCCCGGGTTTGATCCTCAGCACCACATACAAACAAAGATGTTGTGTCCGCCGAAAACTAAAAATAAATAAATAAATAAATAAAAGAGTTTGCCACCACTCTGGGCTCTTATCTAAACTTTTGGGTTTTTTTTTAGTCGTAGATGGACATGGTACCTTTATCTAATAATTTATTTTTATGTGGTGCTGAGGATTGAACCCTGTGCTTCACACATTTGAGGCAAAGCTCCAGCCTTTGAGATAAGCTCCAGCCCTTATCTGAACCTTTTAAAGTAGATTATTTGCAAGTTGATTTGCAACTTTATAGTTTCTGTGGTATTCTCTCAGACCATAAGATTGCCACCTGGTGGTGCCAAATATCAATATAGGGTGCTGAACTTAAACTAAAAGGAAGGGATTATCTATGTGCTTTCTAAATGTTCTCTAAGCCTTGTATTTTTTCCTCTGGATGTATAACAAAGTAGGGCTCATGAAGATGAAGCCAAAAGTCAGAGATTTGAAAAGCAGCTCTTCAAATGAATGTATAACAGGATCACTAGAGTAGTGTTTTTTCATTTGTTTGATTTTGGTATTGGGGGTTAAACTCAGGGGCACTTTACCACTGAGCCACATCTTCAGCCCTATTTTGTATTTTATTTAGAGAAGGGGTCTCACTGAGTTGCTTAGCCCCTCATCATTGCTAAGGCTGTCTTTGAACTCATGATTCTCCTGTCTCAGCCTCTTAAACCGCTGGGATTACAGGTATGCATCACCTCATCCGGATGGGTATTTTTTCTTAACCTTCTTTGTACTCAGGCATATTTTGTCAGTCTGAAGTGTAACTCTCAAAGCAGGAAAAAGATAGAAGACTCCATACCTTTTCTTAGGGCAGTTTTTCATACTGAGATGGGCCCCTTTTTACTGTGGACCCCTTTTCATAATATCACCTGATTGAGGCTTTAGACAATGATCAATGATATATGAAGGCAATGAAAATCAAATTCAGAATAAGAAAAACTCAGGAGTGGGACTGTGGTAAAACCAGGTGGGATGTAGTCTTGCCTAGAAAAAAAGTATGAGTTAGCCATCTCTCACCAGTGCTATGTAACAAAATTCATTAAAAACAAGTCAGGACAGGTGTGATGGTGCACACCTATAATGGCTCAGGAGGCCAAGTTGGGAGGATCACAAGTTTAAAGCCCTAAGAAGCTCAGTGAGACCCTGTCTCAAAAAAATATATAAATCAGACCAGGGATGTAGCTCAGAGGTTAAGCGCTCCTGGGTTCAATTCCCTATACCAGAAGGGAAAAAAAAAGGCACAGTGGCACACACTTATAATTCCACTTGTTTGGGAATGTGAGGGAGGAGGGTAGCTAGTTCAAGGCCAGCCTGGGCAACTCAGACCCAGTCTGAAATATAAAAAATAGCTCAGTTGGAAGAATACCATCTTAACATCGGTAAAGCCCAGTAAAAATCAGAATGAAATGGGAAATACTGTTAAGTCTTTATCAAGGTAAATTATTTAGGAGGAAATATATTTTCCTACTTAGTGCTTAGAGCAAACTATACTTTTTTCCCCTTTCTGTTGTTGGCGGGAGGGGACAGGACAATCTCCTTTCTAATGTCCTGTCCTATCCCCTGTCCAGTTCCTGCAGGCATTCTGAGGTAGTAGGTGGGCTTTAAATAGCATTCAGAAGTACATTTTTTTGTAATGACAATTTTCAAGACAAAGACAGTTGCCTTTAGTTCCTATAACATGGGTTTTGTAGCTCCAGTGGTCTCACCTGTCCATAAGATTGTATTGTCTCTTTTTCTTTTGAGATTGCATTATTCTTTCTTTGATCTTTGATCTTTTTTTTTTAATACTGGGGACGGATCTCGAGGCCTTAGACATGGCTGGCAAATGCCCTACTACTGAGGAACACCATCAGTTCTTTTTCTTTCTTTCTTTCTTTTTGCATTCTTGGGAATTGAACGCAGGGTCTCAGGCTAGACCAAATTCTTTCCCACTGAGCTATACCTCCCAGCCCCTAATTTTATTCTTTCACAAGTCTTTGTGTATCAGGGTACAGCTATTTGCCTCAGATGGAAATCAAAACATTACTGTTATGAATTTAGAGTGGATTGTCTTTGAAAGTCAATAAACTTTCTCCTTTTTGAGTGTGTAGCTCAATTTTTAGATCTCAAGAACAGATGAAACAAATACACTGTTCTACAAAGAAAAATCAAAATTTTAAGTCAAAGTCAGATTAATTAGTTGGGGCCCTTGCATTTGGAGGTTTTGACCTTGGAGGTCTGGACTAGGAGGGTACATTCTCTATATAGGGAACTATATATGGAAGCGTGTATAAGAGAAGGAGAGATAAATATTGTTTTGTAGTCTTGCTGGTGAAGGACATCCCTTCCTACTGAAATCTTTAAGTTCTGTGTAGGAAAAGGCAGGAGAAAATCACAATTCTTCCAGTGACTTTTTAGCTTCAAATAATCAGCATACCTGTTGGGCATATTTTGAGATGACATGTCCTAAACTCCTTGAGTGCAAAAAGTATCTCAGTTTATGGATCCTTTTATACCAGTTCTTTATTTATCCTCCCTAGTTGTTTTTGGTTTTGTTTTTGTAGTTAAATATCACATAGGACTGTGTTACTGAGTGGTAGAGCATTTGCCTAGCATGCTCAAAGGCCCTGAGTTTGATCCCTACCCCTAGCAATGCCAAAAATAAAAAACCTGCCAGGCCTGGTGACACACACCTATAATTTTGTTGACGAAAGCTCAGTTCTTGTCCCCAATGCCAATGCAATAATGAGGACAAGATTTTGATAAAAAGGAAGAAGTTTTGTTGCTTTGCTAACAAGAGACAAGGGATTCCTGTCCCAGAGACTG